GTGTTTTCCTTTAGTGGTTTAATTTTGCACCAGATGAAGTGCAGCACATACACTTTACATATTCATTGTGAAAGTATCTATGTACCAGCACAGACCTAAATGTGTGCACAGACATGCACATGTGCACCCGTGATGTAACATGATGAAGCCACGAGTGCTGTAGTGAATCCAGATCAAATAAATTAAAACAGCTATAAACACAACCTGGATGGTTTGCTGCTCTTTATGTAAAACTGTTTGGGAAAAGGCGTCACACTTCCACTGGATCCAGCTATGCCAGCAGGAGCTGTACCACATGTGAATGCAGGGTTAGATGAAAATATTGCATTCCAAGCAATAGCTAAGAACCTATACAAAGTTTTGTGCAGAAATTAATCCAGTTTATATGATAAGGTAGGTTCAAAATATTTCATTCCAACCTATAACTCATTTTGAAAATAAAGTCACAACACTACACATGGACCTGAGCAAGGAACACTTGAATCAGGGTGTAGGGGAAAATAAACTCTAAGTTTTGAAGCACTTGGGGACACAGAGCCTGAAAGACTGAGATGACTGTCTGCCAAGGTTTCCTCAAGGTCTGAGGCCCAGCAATGTGCAATCTGAGTCTCTGCTGACAACCCTTAACTGACAAACAGTCTTGTCCATGGAGAATTTGACTGAAGTGTGGCACTGGTAGATTTGGACAGAGGGGAAAGTGTTAGTGCCAGTTTTCCTTCTGTCCAGGGCTCTGTTTCACTTCTGTCACATATGGGCACATACTGTAACACCATGTTCTGCAAATTATTTGTGTGCATGTGTTTTCAGGCCATACTTGCCTTGCAATATACTACTCAAAGTAACTGAATGTAGCAGAAGTGGGCACAGAGGTAAAACAAATGAAATCCAGATGTTACCAGGGCTGATCATTAATCCAAAACAAGGGGATTTTTACTGTCACTTGTAACACCCAGTAAATAACAACAGCTACATTGACACACATTTCAAAAATCAAACATAGTGCTGCTAAATGGAGGGAAAAAAAAAGATTATTTGGCCAAACTTTTGTTTGGCTGTTATGAAGGATGACATAATTGTCTTGAATTTGGTCATGCAGACTTCAAAGGAGAAGTGGTGCCAGAGAACGAAGGTCAGTTTATGCAGTTTTATTATTATTCAGACATCCATTACATAAGGCTTGGATATGTAAATGTTTAGCATTCAGTGTAACAAAGATTCAGGTTCTCAACAGAAATGCTCCAATACCTCAAATGTTTGTTTTCCAGAGTTTTTAGCATACATTTTTTGCTTTCAATACAAACACGAGGCAAGTACATAGCATGTAACATATGAGAATTATTGTAACAGTATGTGTAATGAAAAAAATTTAGAGATTCATCTGCAAGAGTCTCCAAGTGACAGTCCCTTTGCCATGCACCTATCACAACCCAAACCCTGCCCTGTGACATGCTCCTGAGCACTGCCCCATAGCAGAGTGCCCAACTCTGTCAGGTTCTAGAAGGGATTCAAGGAAACCCTGGGCAGCAGATGAACCAATGTGATGCAGATTGTGCCTAGGGCTCAATGGATATACAAAAAGCTCTGTTCAAACAGGTTAGAGTAATGAGCCTCACAAAATAAGATTTTGTCATTACAAGTAAGGACTTGGATATGCAGGAATATTTACCAATACATCTGCTACTCTGCTGATGTCACTGCAGCTCTCTGGGTGAGTGCTTTGGTTTTTCTTGTAGCTTCTTACTGAAGTGGTTTGCATTAATTCACAAAGGCATGACAAACTCCAAAAGAGAAACACCAAATGGAATTACACTGGCACAGCTATAGCATATTGCTATTTAATAACACATTGCTTATAACTAAATCTCTCCACACAGAATTTAGATTCCTCAGATTGTGCTCATCCAAGGGAAAG